CACAATGTACTCGACTCAATTTGGCTTCAATGATAATTCGCTTAAATTGTGGAATTCCAAATGTCGTTTCATTGGTCTGCTATGCAAATTAATGATTTTAAATTATCTATTTCGCATGTTCAAATATAATTTATTTAAAAGTTAACAAGTTGATGTATTTCACATATAAACTAATATAAATAATATAAATTAATCGTGTATTAAATCAAATATTAAAAAATAAAAAAAAGAAGAAAAAATGACAAAGTAAGCTATAACCACATAAAAATACATATGAAAAGTTTGAGTCATGTCCAAAAATATGTATAATATTTTGGTTTAATATCAATTATTTTAAATGAATACGGACTAAATAATTATATCATGAATTAAATTAATAAAACATGGGTTAAAATATTTTTTTTACTACTACAAATTTATATTAGACAAAAAATTAAGACTGGGCTGGAGCCCGGGTGAGCCACCCCCTGGCTCCGCCCCTGGGCAATATATTCCAATAGAAATTTCAATTGATATTTTAATGGTATAGCTTCCGTTGGAATGATCCCATCAAAATGTCTAACGGAATTATTACATTTAAATTAAAATGGAATTTTATCATTTCAACGGCCATTATTCCAACAGCTTTACCTTAAAAATATCCGTTGAAGTATATAATTTTCGTTGAAATTTTTATTTTTGTACCGATAGAGTCGATTTTTGCGATAGAGTCTGATTTTTGCCCGAAAATCACCAAGGCGGAAAACTCATCTAGGCATCTTCTTGTAATCATGGCACCGTACTTTCTACCTCTTATGTAAATTATATAACTGAGTGTGGTCCAATGGATTTGTATGTTTCTCATTTGTTTCTATTGGATTTGTTAGTGGAATTTATTATTTAAATCAAAAAAAAAAAAAATAACTGGACAAAAATAAAAAAAAAAAAGGTTGTCGACCAAAATAAAACAGCCGGATACTGAGAATACGTTTTCATTTTGAAAACGTATTCCGAGGATACGTTTCCAGAAGAAATCGTATCTCATGTTACGTTTTATATCGAAAAAATTTTTTAAACACGATTAACTTAATTAAACCGCGATTAAGAAAATTAATGTAAAATAAAACGTACTCTCATAATACGTTTTCAATGAAACGTATTTTAAGAAT